AAAATGACAGCTACAGCTGTGTGAGGGAGAACTGCTCTTGACCGCAGCCACAACAAATGTAAACATAGAGGGGAATTTATCAAACTTGAACCAGCCATGCATGTCAATCAGTCAGTTTCTATCTTTCATTTTCAAAGTTTAAAGTGTTACTAACCATGGCCCTGCATTCACCATATATGGTCTCTCACAGTACACAGAACATGGAAATTAAATTATTTTAGTAAATATAAACTGCTAAATACCTTTTCTCATCAGCAGTATATAGCAGTCTTATGACTTCTATCAGTGTCCAGCTGAGCACTGGTTAATTCTGTAGGAGGAGTTTTCATTCTTCTCTGACTGTCCTATGAGGCTTCATAGCCCCTGACCTCTGTCTGGACAGTGCTGATTGGCTCTGTGCTGATCACATGCACCCTCTCAAAGGAAAAAAAATAGCTAGCAATACACACTAAACTGAACATGTGCAGAGGGTCTCCTAGGGCTCTGTACTATGGCAGATGGATTGGGGACAGTAGAAGAGGGGGGGATCAGAGAAGACAGGATCAAGCAGCCTTTTTACACAATACAGGGGATTGACCCTTAGGTTCCACAGTGAGTATAACAAGCATGCTTTACTGCATATACAGACTGATTTTACTGTTGTGGGTTTAGTAACACTTTAACTAAACAAGCTGAAAACAGAAACTGATTTCTTACTGTACACAGCATGCACATACTCCTGTTCCTACAACTGACCACTAAGGAACTTTCAATCACTAAGTTAAAGGCATTAAGGTGATTAATGGATAAGGAGTCAGAAGTGTTTTAACAAAGCGACCATCACCTAGGCTGTAGCAACTCCATCAAACATGAGCTACCAACAGGAGAGTGTTCTTCCATTCAGGAGTGGTACCAAAGCATATCTTCTCACCTCTACCAAGCAGTAAAGCAGATGGTAAAACAAATGATACAACAGGGGATGATGAAAGAGAATAAGAGCCCACAGGTGGCTCCAGTTCTTTACAGAGAGAGTGAAGAGGAAGAATGGCACACTCTGTTTTTGCATGCTTCATAGGCATTTGAATCTGAAATGATTTGGAGCAACATATTGTTTATCTTCTGACCCCATCCATTCACAAATTCATTGGACTTGTATTTGGAGCACTTTATTGAGTCAATCATTTTACATGTTATTTTAAATCACAGGATATTGATTCATTTTATAGTCAATTTTATGGTATATAACCATACTGTTGATCACTACCTACTTTTGTCACTTCACTGATTCATTTTTTTTATACTCATCCATTCACATCTGCACTCGTCACCTTGCTGACAATATTTCTTGGATTTCACTTTATTGCGCAGTCAATTCTTTGCGTCTTTTGCACTAAGTCACTTTATTTACAGCGCTGCATATTTGTTTTATGGTTTAGTTTATTTGAGGATTAAGGGGTTTTATCTTAGCGGCTTATTTGTTTTGATTTTGTGCGCTAACTCATTTTGCTTGTTTTTAATTCTGATTTATATACATGATGTATTCTCCACCAACTTCGAGGAACATCTAGGGGCCTGGAAATACAAGCACACAGTGTATTCCATGACAGGTCACTCACTCTACCTTGTCATGTTCAAATATACTCTCCGGGGCCATCCTTTTGGGTATTGTGCCCACTGGATATGTAGATCACACTTGGAAGTTCTGGATTCAGGAGGACAAATGCTGTCTGTTGGAGGTTCAAAAAATTGTTAAAAGTTCAGTAATGGGTGGAACAAGTCAGGTCCGGAATATGGAACTTTGACCTGCACTCTGGTGATAGGTTTCTAGATTGGTGCAAAGGTGCACATCAGGTAGTTACAGACACTGTGGGAAGAAGTCCCAGGAATCGCCTTACAGCAATCTATTCTGGGCATACCAGCCTATGACTTCTGGTGCTTAAAGCAAGCTGAGACACCCTATACCGTAGGCTCCTCAAGCCCATCAAAAATCTTGCAGAGGCTGATGAGAGATGTCATACACAACCTCTCCAAAGGTGTGCTGACTGTCAAAAGTCAATTGGTTCTACCTCTTGTTCTTCTACAAGTACCTCCCTGGAGAAGTTACTGACCCTGCTGATACTATTCAGACCCTGCTGATACCATTCAGTTACTGACCCTGCTAATACCATTCAGGACCATTTCAGGTCCTTGGTCCCTCTGTGAAATCATGCGACTCACTATCTGGTGCCTGAAGATGAGGACAACACCTCATGTTGGATCTTTCAAATGCTGCCAGAGCCCTTTGTATACTCTACAAATTTGTTTTATTTAGCAGGTTTAAGAGGGGTGGAGTGTAAATGAGTCTAAATAAATAAAAGGCAGAACTCCAGGCAGCTAATTTTTCAAGTTTCTTATATTTATGTAAGGAAACATCATATAAAGACATAGCAATAAATTGTAGCACATGCACAAGATCTCCCACAGTTCCTCTATCTATACAAAGGCAAACTCTCAGCTACAAGCATCATATACATTTTCATTAGAACAGGCAGGAGATCCAGGGTAAAGGTACAGCAAATAACAATCATCAATACACATGGATACAGTAAATAACAGAACAAACCTTCGGGTGGCAGGCAAACACTCAGGATCAGTTGGAGGTATTCATTCATATTTCCTGCTCATTTAGTAAATCAACACACTGATGCTGAGTACACATAAAGAAAGGTGTTTATTCATTCAAGCCAATGGGCTGGGCTGAGAGGTCACCATACTAAGTGATCTCCCCCATCGAACTACTGTGTTTTGACATTGTCCCCCTCGGCAGAACACACTGATCAGCGCTCCCATTGCCTATGAATGCTGATTGGATGCTGGTTTTCCAGCATGCTCCTTTATCAGAAGCCGGTCATGAGATTGGACAGGAAGCTGCACACATGGGCCAAAAGTCATCTGGTTCCTGCCAAGGCGGCTATTTTCTGACAATTTTTGGCCTATGTGTTGCCATCTTAAGGCCTCATTCACACGGGCACTGAGGCTAGTACAGTATTAATGGGTTTTTTGTTTACATGTCTGGACCCATTTGGAGGTGTGTGCAGGCAGTTTATGTTAGTAAATGGAAATACAGAAGCTACACATGGGAGTTTGACAGGCATGTGGATGGTGGATGCAGCCTGAAGCGCAAAGTCTGCGTTCTGGACCGTACACCTGCCCCTACACACCTATACAGTGCTGATCTGATTGTAATATCAAATGACGTACTTTCTCGGTTCATTTGCTTGAATGCTTGTTAATATTGATTTAAACTATAATAAAAACGATTGAAAAGAAAAAATATAAGGACAAACTTCACTATCTTCATAAGAACTGAACACATTTTTTCACCTGCATTAAAGTATAAGTTCACATTCTGTAATCTGATATATTTGACACTCGTATTTAGGTGTCAATCTACAGTGTAAAAAGTTATTAATGTACTTTTTATACCTTCAAAATCATGTGCCTATATTATTTCTTTTAGGCCCTGGTTCACACTGATGCGGTGCGGAATTCGCAGTGTTTTCTGTGCAAATTCTGCACCGCATCAGAATTGCACCTCGTTCATGCGAACCGCTGTGGGTGTGTATGTTAACAACACCCTGAAAGCAGTCCGCAAAACGCAGTGCGATTTGCAGAATCAGGTTGCATGGGTGTGAATACCCATGCGATCTGATTCTAGTGCGACCCAAAAAAGGGTTCTGCATGTTTATAAAATATATGGCTCCAATCCAATTATATAAAATGTATGGCTCCAATCGCACTGCACACAAATCGCATGTGATTTGTACAGGAATGCGATGTGGTTCCTGTGCGAATCACATGCAATATACCGCACCGCATATATGTGAATCCAGGCTAAAGGTGAACTTAGCCTTTAAGGGCTCAACAATGGGTTCAGTGCCCAATACAAATAATTTACACATGCACTCATAATGCTATTATTTATTATACTTAGCACCATTAAAGCACAATGGATAACACATGCATCTTTCATATTTAGCAGATTCATCCTGTTTGTGTATCTAATCCCGATGCTTGTTTTCAAAAGGCCAGAGCACACTCATGTAATCTTTCACTTGGTTCCTGTGGCAAAAACAGAATAAAAAGCTTAGGTTTTTGATTTTTTGTTGTTGTTTTTACTACCCATTGTTAAGATAATAGATAAATACTTTATTGCCATTGCCAAACAAATTACAATGAAGTTTCTGTAATAGGTTTCACAGTAGAATGGAAACATAGTTAAACATAATTACATTTTAGGCAAATGTATTTGTATTTTGCAAAAGTGATTCATAACATACGGATATCCATTGCAGCCCAAGAAGAAAATATTTTAGCTGTTTACGTAATATTTGGCCAAGTGTAATCATACATTGTGCAGAAAAAGTGGAGTCAAAGCAGAACCTGATCAACTATGGGCAGAGAGACAGATTGTCTTGCTTATAGATACAGGATAGAGAACTCTAAGGGGGACCTAATTGTGGACGCCTGGAGGGCAGAGGGTTAAAAATCCTGTAAATGCTTGTGAGAGAAGTATATAAACCATTGTGCATTGAAGCAGAAGAAGAATTGGTAGATGACCCTGGAAATCTAGAAAGCACAAAAATGACTTAGGGAGGGAATATTGAATGCTCTTGTGTATTAAGCCATCTTACCAGCTTGTCAGTTGTTAGGGGATGAGTAGTTTAGTTTGTCAGGCATACTTGATTTTCCTGCATAATTGCCAATTTTCACCTAAATTGGTGCTCATATTTGCCATGCGGCAATGATATAAAGCAGTATTAAACCCAAAACCAAAAATGTAATATATTACAGCTTACCAATCATACAGTGTGGTTAGTTATCTTTTTTTAGGCCTTTTTTTTCCCCTCTGTTTTCACCTGGTGATTTGGCCAATAACACTCCTTCTGTATTAGAGTGCCCCCACTCTGAAAGAGGGAGCACTAGGGGGCACATCTGGACAGCAGAATCGTCAGTCTGGGGGGGAGGGGGGAGTGTTAGATGGCAGGGGTGGACTGACCATTTGGAAACTCGGGCACTGCCCAAGGGCCCGGGGTCAGTAGGGGGCCCCATGAGATACCCCTGGTACCTTTTTCATAGGCTTTTTGTAGTTTGGGCAAGGACACAGGGGCCCCATGATCCCCTATTGCCCAGGGGCCCCATGAGTTATCAGTCCGCCCCTGTTAGATGGTCTAGCACAAGGCTTGAAAAAGCTGCTTGCTCGCTCGCCAAATGCGAGGGGAAATCACTGTGTGGCAAGCAGGTGAGCAGTGGCGTCCCAAGGCAGGTGCTGGGGGTGCAGTCCGCACACAGCCACTCCCAGTACGATGTGAATGGACAGTGGCCCTTCCTCACTGAGCTCGCCCCGCCGTGCTGTCAGAGGGGATAGGAGGGGAAGGTGCAGCTCACTGTCACCTCCAGGACAGCCTGCGCTAGCAGTGAAGCCCTTGGTGTCCCTTGGTAATGGGCTGGGAGTAGAGGAGCCTGCACTTCTTCTGGGAGTGCCAGGACCTGCACCCTCCCCAATGATCCCTCCATCTACTTACCTGCTGCTAATCCGGAGCCCTCATCCCCACACACAGCGACATGTCTGAGCTCCGGGGGAGCCCGAGCACGACAACAGCAGTGACAGGGTGAGTGTCAGTGGACAGGGCATGGGATTGGCGGCAGGTCACCTGTCTGCATGGAGTGTACTGGGCCTGACTGAGTGCAGGTAAGGGGGGCCCTGATGGGGGGCGCTGCCTTCATCTCTATGGGGTAACTCTTGGCTTCTGTGGTCTGGCCTCAAAGCATACGTTGATTTCCACACTGGATTTCAGTCATTCCCACTCTGCTCCTATTATTCTGAAGTTTGTAAACTGACTTTGCAAAGATCTCCACACATTTAGGGTAGGTTCACACAATGTCATTGCTCTGAAAAGTGATCCATGGCGGATTGGTTTTCAGAGTGTGGCTAGGCTGCCCTTGTCAGAGGTTCAAGTGATTTTAAAGGCAATTTTATTTTGAATAAGAAAAAATAACAAACATGTCTATACTTACCTGCTGTGTGCAGTGGTTTTGCACAGAGCAGCCCCAATCCTCCTCTTCTTGGGTCCCCCGCTTGCGATCCTGGCCCCTTACTCCTGCTGAGTGCCCCCAGAGCAAGCAGTTTACTATGGGGCACCCGTACCCCTTACTCATTCACAAAGGGGGGCAGCATCAGGCCCACTTATTTAAAGGGGTACCCTGATACTAATGAGCCCCTCTGCCCTCAGACCCCCACAACCACCGGGTAAGGGGACACCACCTCCATGCCAAGGGCACGTGACCTGGTAAGCCACAGGGAGGGTGGGCACTCAATCATCTTCCCCCTTTCCTGGCCTGCCAGGCCTGTGCTCAAATCAAGGGTCTGGTAGGAATGTAAGGGGACCCCACACTCCCCCCCCATTTTTTGGGGGTCCCCTTAAAATCATGCCAGGCCTAAGGGCCTGGTATGGCTTTTAGGGGGAACCCTACGCACTCCCCCCTCCCCCCCCCCCCCCGATTTTTAGGAGGTGGGATTCCCCTTAAGTCTGAGCAGGCCTAAAGGGCCTGGTATGGCTTTTAAGGGGAGCCCCACACACTTAAAAAAAACACTTATACTGAGGGGTCCATCCTAACCTTCCTACCTAACCTTCCATTGATCAGCAAACCGGATGTTTCTTTTTTCTGAAAATCAGGGAGAAAAAAAAGTGCTAGATAGAAAAATAAAGCAGCACACATTACACATCGTTAGGCACATAATTAACCCCTTGATTGCCCCTAGATGTTAACCCCTTCCCAGCCAGTATCATTAGTACAGTGTCAGTATACAGAATTATCACTGATCACTGTATTAGTGTCACTAGTGATGTCAGTGTCAGTTAGTGACCCTCCCAGATAGTGTCTGTTAGCGTTAGTTTGCCCACCACCCTTTCATGGTCACACTGTAAGTTACTGATCACCACCATTACAGTATAGTGTCTATAGCTATGTAGCACTACCCCCTTAGGAGTCACTTGAAGATTTGGGTCCCCCTATAGTCCTGCACAGCCAGGCAACACGCATCTCCACACAGGCTTGCATCCAGAGTCAGACATCAGTCCTTGATCTTTGGTTTTGTTGTTTTTATTTAGGGGATTTGAACTGAGATAGGGTTAGAGGTATACAGGATTCCCAAGGAAACTAATGAACTGAGGTCAACTTCATGGAACTATTTACAAGCCTTCCCTTCAGCACAGTCTGTGTTGGAGAGCTAGCCAGCATCTCCTTAATTTACCACCCCATACCCTAGATGGACTCCTCTTCCTCACCCAGCAATCTGAAGGTATCCTTGAATAGGGGATATTGTGTCTGTTACTTTAACAGTGGAAAGTCCCAAATAGGCAGCGAATCTGGTTTCCCATCAGAGTTCTCCTTCCCCTATCCGCCCAGGGGGTGCAGGGGTACTCACTCAGATTCTCACCTGTACCACTGGTGGGTTGGTGGCTGCTACCAGGCCTATCAGCTGGGCCACTCCTTCCCTGCCATACAGGTGGTCCTTGCTCTGGGGGCCAGTGAAATTCTGAGCTTTCCTCCTTTGGAGCTCCAGGTCTGCAGGTAGACCCCATCCCACTGGGCCTCCTTGCAGCCTCCTGCCTTCAGCCTCACATCTTCCTAACTGTCTTCCACCTGAACTCTCCTCCAGCTGAGTAGACTCCAACATTTTTAAGGACGCCCAGCCCCCTGACAAGCCTTCTGTTGAGGATTGGTTAGGATCCCTCAAGAGTGCAAGCCAGCCACTCCTCAGATATACCCCCTGCCTCTAGGTCTTCCTCCAAAGCCCTTAAGCAGGGGGAAGTTCCAGAGGGGCTGGTCTGCAAAGCCTCTCAGCTCTTGACCACAATTTGTCTTTCTGGCTATTATACCCAGGCTGCCACTCAGCCCTCCTTTCTATCAATCAGGAGTCTAGCTCCCCTTAGTGAACTAGGTGAACTTCAGTATATATACAATAGTTTGTATATAGCTTTTGTACAAACCAACTAATATACACTTATTGGGATTTTTTTTTTACCAAAGACATGTAGCAGAGTACATTTTAGCCTATATGTATGAAGAAATTAGATTTTTTTATTTTTAATTGGATATGTTTTTTGACACAAAATAGAAAATTTAATTTAAAAAAAAAACTTTTTTAGTTTATATTGCAAAAAATACAAAAAACCCAATGGTGATCAAATTTGTATTTGTGTGAAACAAAAATATACAAATTTCATTTGCATACATTGTTGCATGACCACGTGATTGCCAGTCAAAGCAGCTCAGTGCCAAATAGCAAAAAATTGCATCGCTATGAAAGGGGGTAAAATCTTTCATAGCTTAAGTGGTTAAAGAGTGAACGTGCTCTACTCTTTTCTTTTATCAACCCCAGTGTATTGTTTGTTTTGTTTCCATTCAAGGTAATATGAATACAACTTAAATTTATTCTAAAAGTATTTAAAACTCATCCAAACACCAACCTTTTCTTCTTTAATGTGGCTGAAAGCATGCTGTGTTTGAGTCTAAGGATGGCCATAGACAGTTTTTTTTCATTTGGCCAGCGGGCTTAAAGTGTTACTAAACCCAGGACCCTGCATTCATTATAAGTGGTCTCTTTGCAGAATACAAAATTGATTTTTTTTTTTCTGTACAAGTTCTATTAATTTTTGCAGCACGCTTATATGTTTGTTACAATTGTAATGTGCTAGGAAATAAAGATTAATAATAAAATAAATTTAAAATGTGCAAATGTTGTACTAAGTTTGTTTGAAATATTACTTTAGTTTTACAAAATAAATACATTGTAACCCACAGAAAGGAATTATAGCTGCTACAAAAAACAACATTAAAGGGTCTTGATTAATTTCTAAAATTGTAGATTTGCAGGATGCCCTGTATTTTGCCTACTAGGTTTTTTTTCTATGATTATCAGCTCCATCTAGTGGTCCTAATGTTTTTTAAAGTGTTACTAAACCAAGGACCCTACATCCACTATATCTGTTCTCCTGCAGTACACACAACATGGAATGCAATTATTTTAGTAAATATAAACAGCTACATTCCTTTTCTCATCAGCAGTTAAAGCAGTTGTGACTTCTATCAATGTCCAGCCGAGCACAGGTAAAGCTTGTAGGAGGAGTTTTCATTCTGCTCTAGGAGGATGCAGAACCCCTGACCTCTGTCTGGACAGTGCTGATTGGCCGTTGTGCTGACCAGATGCACCTTTTAAAGGAAAAAAAAAAACCTCTCTAGCAATACACACCAAACTGAGCATGTGCAGACTGTCTCCACACGATATTTCTTATCAAGAGATAAGAGGGGTGCACTGGAAGAAGGGGAGGATCAGAGAAGACAGAATCAAACATCCTTTTTACACAGTGCAGAGGATTAATACATTAGGTTCCACAGTGAGTATAACAAGCATGCTTTCCTGCATATACAGACTGATTTTACTGTTGTGGCATCTGCTGCTGCCTGAATTTGCTAATCAGTGGCTGTGACACCAAATGTCAAAAAATGTTCCTACATATCAAGACTTCTGTCAATTGGGTGAGGCTGCAAACTGATCGAAATTAATCTAGTCCCTCCTGGACTGGCCAATTTTGTCTCAATGTATGACTAGTCTAAGGCCCCTTTCACACGGGCATTCCATATGTCTGTTTTTCATCTGTCCGGTTACAGATGGAAAATGGACACCCATGTATGTCTATGGACTAGTGGATGTAAACGTATGATCAGCTATTTAGATCCGTTAACCACTTGCCCTCTAGCGGATTTACCCCCCTTAATGACCAGGCCTCTTTTTGCTACTCGGTGCTACACTAACTGATAACTAACTGATAATTGTGCTGTCATGCAATGCTGCACCCAAACAAAATGTACGTCCTTTTTTTCACACAAATAGAGCTTTCTTTGGGTGGTATTTGATCACCTGTATAATTTTTATTTTTCACGCTATAAACAAAAAAAGACTGAAAATTTGGAAGAAAAACAATTTTTTTTACTTTCGGCTATAAAAAATATATAGTAAACTTAAAGTTAGTTATACATTTTTTTGGAAAAAAAATCCCAATAAGTGTACATTGATTGCTTTTTGTGAAAGTTATAGCGCCTACAAACTATGGTATAGATATTGGAATTTACGCCATTTTTTTGCTATACAGCGCTGCACTAGTTTAACGGACAATTGTGCAGTCATGGAATATGGTACATAAATGAAATTGATGTCCTTTT